CGGAAGAGAAGTTGGCTGATCAAATAGAGGTTCGCGATGTCTTTGTCTTCTTTCTTCTAAAACGTGTGTGGGGCTTTTCTTCCTCATTTTTTAAGACCAAGGACACTGTTCTCTGAACTTGCTAATGGGATCAAATCAACTTAATATCAAGCATGACATTTGATGCTAAAGTTGATTGCTTACACCTGGCTTTGATTGCAGCAAGCTTAGTGGTCATTTGGAATATATGAGCACAAATGTAGCTTATACTATTTCATCTTGGCTGCTTCTCAAGTTCAGTTTGGTACAATGCAGCCCTTGTGCTATTGTGAAATCTTTGAACTGAACATCTCCTGTATCTATCTAGTATGTAAGCACTTGGGTTTTTTTAGGATTTGAGCCAAACAATTTTTAAAAAGTCAAGAAAATTGGCATATTTAACACTGTTAATTTGTTACTGTGTTACGCTTGCATAACAACTTCAATTTTCACCATTTCCTTCACTAAATTACAGTGGTCCTAAGTTTATCCCAGTGGTTCTGCTGTTGGCCCCCAAAGAGAGTTTAAATCTTCTACTAAAACCTTTTGTGTGCATCTGAAATTCCATATTCAGTCAGTAACCCAAAACTGAATGTCTTTTTTATATTTTTTGCGGAACTGTGTTCCGCAAAACTGATTATTATGATTTTTTTTTTTTTTTGAGCTCCAGATAAAAGCCTTTGCTTCTACTCAAATCCTTGAAAAAACAAGTCAGTTGTTAGCATTCTGAAGGTTTCACTGTTGATGGCTTGTATGGCACACATTGTTGATTTGGGAAGTGTAGAAGTGTTCCCCTTGTTGGCCCTGCTTATGGCTTGGATCAGTTGTTACGGCTGAGTCTGCGCTGTTCAGTTGGAATACATTTGTGCTGTCGACTTTGAGGAAGTCCATAGGTTCAGATTTGTGTTGGAAAACTCTTGAACCGATGCTACGCTGCTCAGAATGCCAGTTTTAAGTTGATGACTCCCTATGCCTATACTATTTTTTTTTTTCTGTGAATGTGTGTACAAACATCAGTAAAAACGCACAGCACAAAGTAGCTGTTCTTCTCCCTCCCCCTCTTAAAAAATGTCTAGTTTACAGTAACTGAACCAGATGCTGGCTAAGTCCACGGTTACCGTTAGAAATATAATAGCTATTAATCTTTTGGACCTCTTGTTCTCCTATTTCCCCAATTGTCACTGAGTATTTGTCCAAAAAATACGTCATTGCAGTTGGAAGGCTTCTATGTGATCTTCTTATTAGCTATGTAGTGGATTATGGATACACAAAATAAAAGGCTGTCAGCAAAGTGAAAAGTAGGGAGGAGGTAGAGGGAATATTGAGATTGCTTGGGTTTCATATTATTTTAGCGATTCTTTCTCAGCAGCTTCATCAGCTCAGAGGATGCTCTGAGAATTGACCTGTAATTATTTTATATTCTACAGGTAGACATGTTGCTTTAGTATGCATATGCCTATGCAGCATCTATAACACTGTCAGTACTCCTAGGAATGTAATTTGAGGAGAAAAATGTTTTTGTGTACTTTGTTTTTTCCCATAATGCTTAGCGTACATGTCAGGGTTGAAATTAAATGACTAGCATCGGCTATTGACTGCTGTGAATGGTGCGTGGGAAAAGGATCAGTGTAAATACTGGCATTAGCACAAGTGTAGCCTGGCCATATTTACCTGCCTCGTAGAGCAAGAAGTTGTACTTGGTTATCAGCTTAGGTTCCTATTATACAAGGAGGGTATTTTTTTGTAAGTTGAGAACAATATTTTGCTGCTTTGCATCTGACAAAGAAGTTTCCAATTGTTTTGATGCTTTGTTAATAGTTTTTTTTTTTTAAGAGAAACTATTTGGGCACTTTTTTGACCGTTTGGTGGGCTTAAAAACAGTGTTATGAGAAGCGTAAGAGTTTTCAAGCTTGAACTTTGGCTTTTTGCTGGGATGCATAAACAATTGGATGACTGTTTTATTAATTGAATTGGGGTGTGCCTTATGTATAACTGGCAAAAGACTAACCTACTTTCATTCAAGTATTTGAGTAAAAGTGTGCTAATTGGTGTGAAGTGGCCGTTGCTGGAAAAATATTGCAGAGCAATGTGCAATTATATTGTGATAATTTGTATCTATTGGCAGATAGAAGCATGTCACACGGTCCTCTACAAGTAAAAATAACCAGCACTATTGTAAATGTAATGCGTTTTTTGTCGCAACAGTAACACTTTTCTTTTTTTTTCCTTTAGGTTCTTGATTGTTACAGACCATTTGCTGAAATGTCCAGAGTTGGTGAAAGCCCTCTATGCCAAACTGAGCAATCAAGAAAGGTAACCCCAAAAACCAATGTGGCTTTTAGTATTTAGCATTCCATATAGAGTATCCTGTTCACATGATTGAAAAACTGTGTGGTTTCATAGTTGGCACAAAATCTCTAAATACATGTTTCTATGTCAGTAATGGTTTTAAATTGGTTGGTTAACATTACAGCTTAGCCACAACTGGCAGTGATTTATGTAGGGTTGCAGAATCCAGGTTGGCGCCATTACTTGGTAAAGAAATACTTAAAAAAAAAAAAAAGACAGGATTTCATGCCTGTGTCTTGGTATCATAAGAGCACCACACCCTGCACTGTTTTACAGCTATACACTGTTTACAGCTTTGACTGTCCTCAGCTGTTCATACTCCTGTTGTAATTACAAGAAATTAAAAGGAAGCCTTTACTGAAGTTGGAAGTGTGTCTAATACTGGTTGGCAGAACCTAAAATCCTAGGTGGGCAGATGCCCGCGATTACTTCATGTTTTAGTCTTTCCACTCTTAAACCTATAAAATCCTTCAACAACCTTCACCTTGAAAGAAAATAGCTAGTTTTCCTTCAGGTGTTTGAGTAAATGTGTGCTGAATTGATTGGAAATGGCCAGTGCTATAACTGGGAAGATACTTATTTACGATGGCTTTAGTAGAGAATCAGGGAAGATTAAATTATTTTGTTAGAATAATCAATTTTGGAAAATCCTGTGCCATTTTACAGTTCCTCCAGCTGCTTGAAGATTTTGTGATTTTGTGTATGTATTCAACATGGCTACTTTGTTCCCCATCACCCAGTGTAACTGCAAGTTATGCAGGTAGTTTTTGCAGGTGAAATACAAAGCAGTAAGCAAAACAGTCCATTAATGGTTTGGGGTTTTTTCTGTGTTTTTTTGCCATGACTAAAGCCATGGTGTTATTACAAATGGGGGTACAGAGACTGATTAGATTATAAAGACAAAGTGGTGGCAGGCAGAGAGGTAGTTTATGATAGGTTGAGAACCATAGAGAAAGTATCAATGTATAGGTATGGGGTAGAAAACAAGGAATAAGAATGGGAAATACTGTCTTCCTTCTTTATTCAGGCTGACCAAATAGGAATGAATACGAGCTGTGTGCTTGCTGTGCTGCCTTGGAGGTAGGGACTCCTTAACTAGTTAGTGAGAAAGACTGTGTTAAGTGAATGAGCTAGAATCTGGGGGATGTCATGAATGGCAGTTTGTATGTTTTCATAGTCCCCTTGAAGATAGGCAGGACTGGGCTAGGGTATTCAGTTGCATTTAAAGCAACAGATGTCGTAAGTTTCTAGGAAGGTTTCGACTGGGTTTGTTGCATTCGCTGTGCTACAGACTGTGATCAGCTATCTTGACAGACAGGTTTTTGATGTAGGCATCGTATGGACGATCACATGCAGGATGGCTACTCGTAGCATAGTCACTGAATTCATTATCAATCCCAAGAGTTCTGCAAATCAAGTAAACTCCATTAAGCTTTTCAAAAACAGTGCAGTTGCTTATGAATTTGATACTGCTTAATTTACTGTGAAACATATGGAAGTAAGTGGTGTAGAAATAGTCCTTTTGCATCTGAACTATAGAGGAAAACCCTGCCATGGCTTCCTACCTAATGTTAGCGTGTGTAAGAATGCATTCTTTTGAGATATATGAGGAGACAAACCCAATTCAGATAGAAACATTTTGACTGTCATTTGCTGAAGAAAAAAGTAACCGTATAAACCAAAGCATAGGGAATTTATTGTTTCAAAACGAGACAAGAAGCCTTCACCGCAAGAGTTGCCGCACTGAGTGCCCAATAAGGCTGACTAAGTCATATAAATGAAGAAAGGACAGATGTGGTATTGAGGTGTCTGAGAAAGTCAGCTTGAGCTCATGAATATATGGTAACTCTCAGTTACAGTATTCTCTATCATGCATTAAATACACTTGCTTGAAATATATTTACTGAAACAAAATTAACTATGCTGAGAAAGTTTGCAAATACATACGTTGGTGGTGACTCTTAAAGTTGGCAGTTGCCTTAGATAACCAAAGTATATGCAGTTGCATAACCGCAGTTATTTGCACTATTCACAGTATTCACACTATTCAAAGTATTTCCTGTAATTGAGATCTAGTGAGTTTGTGATACAGTGGCCGTGGTGCATGCCGTGAAGTAGTTCTTGTTGTAGAAGTTGATCTGCAATCTGAATTTTCAATTAAAATAAAATTCCTGACTTCTGGACAACTTTCTCTTTTGCTTCCAAACAAATTTAAGCACTTTTGTGTTGCATGTCTGAGTTTGCAAATGGCCTGAAATAAATACTGTGATAATATGATCAACCTTTTTAATGGTATTCTGTGTTTGAACAGGGTATGATAATGTGACAAGGCCTGCTGTTTCTCTGCAAGTGATTATTGCAGAAATATATGGCTACAGTATTGAGCCAAAAGGTTGCAGATTCTTGAATCCTGTGCCAGATTTGAGTTTTCCCTGCACGTGTGTGCCAGTGTTTGCCAGAAGTATTTAGTAAAAGCCTGCTTTGCTTTAATCCAAGTTAGCCTTGAGCATGGACAAGGTAAGGTAATGCCTAAAAAGTCTTAATTACATTGTAAAAATCTTCAAAGTGAGTACATCTGTCTTCTCCCTTTTTAGAAGGGCTCTTGCTTTAATTAACAGCAAGAAAACCATGACTGAATAGCAACTGAATAGCTTCAGGTGTTTTTAAGATGATCAGCTGCTTGCATCTTTAGTTTTGATTTTTGTGTTATTTCATGCGAAGTGTTCACAGGGAATGATGTAGCTACTGATCGAATTACCAGCTGGGAAATGGCCACTCAGGTAGTGTAAGCGGCACCACCTCTTGCTTGTGTTCAGCTACAGGGCTGCTAATGTCAATATTGTGGTGGGGTTTTGTTTTTAGTAATGCTCACAGACACAGAGTAGTTGAAGGTAGGATTGGATTAGAGTCCCAATTTGCCAGTTTTCATTTATCAGGTTACTTACAAGTATCGCTCAAAGATGAAAGAATTGAAAGTTTCGGGGAAGGACCTAATTTGTCTCCTAGGGCCATTTCTGTCAGTGAAGTGTTGCAGGAAAGAGAAGTCCCAGTTGCAGACAAAGAATGTCCCACGTGTCTGGCACGTGCTGAGAGGTTATAAACCAAGCACACTCGATACAAAAGCTGTTTGGCGATAATAAGATTGATAGAATTGTACAATAGTGTCTTTAGCAAGGCTTCATGTTATTTTGTAATAATGAGCTTCCAGATTTAAATTGCACTTTAATACTGTGGTTTATTTGCAGACAAAATGAGGTAACAATGTGTTTTACTGATGATTGCAAATACTTTCTAGGAGTTGTTGTAAGTTTTTGCAGATATGGTCAGCTTCAGGAAAACTGGTTTGAATTTGGGGGAACAAATCTTTTTTTGGACAAAAAGTCTGCCTAAGTGGTGCCTAAACAAAAGGAAGATGACAGAGCATGATCATTTCTAAACAGAAATATAATCATAAATATAATACACAAAATTACACTTTAGATACTGAACTGAGTGTTACAAAAATTACCATGAGACATGCTAAAACCAGTACAGCTTTAAAACCAGTTGTCGTATGTTGTATTTAGCTGTAGGCAAACAAATAGGAGCAAATGCTGCCATCTGAATGGCTCAATGCTTATGAGATCCCTTAAAAGAAATGAGCAAATTGCATTGTGTGGGAGAACTAACTTGGAAAAATTTGGGTGAGTCTTGGAAGAAAACGGAGAAAAACAGTAGAAGAAAGGAACGTAAGGCAACTCACATCAGAATAAGGAGCACTGCTCTCGGGAAGTTGTTGGCTGAATGGCAAGCCGTGCTTGAAATTCAGGAGAAGGATGGGCATGTCCTAAATACTGTGTCTGGGAGAAAACTCAGGAAAACAGTTTTGAAATGAATGCCTAAAGAGAACAGAAATCTTTAGAAGAAATTACATACAGGTGGTGTTATAATGTCACTCCTAATTCTCTGGAAGGATTATTGCTGTCCAAAAGGGCACACAATTATATTACAAGAGGAAGAGTAATGCAAAGAACTTCCCTATTGCCAACAATTTCACCTCACTGATACAGTTTATGGAAGTATGTGATGACCCTCCAACAACTTGACAGAAGGATTACTTGTAATTTTTAAATGTGTATTGTTTGGTTTATTGGTGCAGCAGTAGCTGACTAGAATTGCATTTTGCAGGAGATGATATTTTATTGGAATAATTCCTATAATCAGAAAGCCTATGAGCAGCCTGTTTTCTTAGCCAAGCATATGTTTGAAAGGCTCTAAACTTGGTAAAAACTGGCATGTAAAATCTAGCCCTGTCTTGGGGATGAATGACACATCTGTTCACTTCACTTGATTTTTGTATAGTGTGCCAAATCTGAAAGCCTTCGTTCAGTTAGGGATGTTGGGTAACAGGACTCTGGGAGTTTGTAGATGGACAAGTGTGGGCTACCCAGTTGTAACCTGCAGAACAAACAGAACAACTGTTCTGTGTCGGTGCTGCGTCACATCGTAAATGAAGCCTGTGGGAGAGGTTACCAGCGCTTGACAGCCTTCTGTCTGGAGTCCACCCTTTCCCGAACGTGTTGAGCGCGTTTCTATGCTACTGTGTTGAAAAAGCTTTTTGTCCTCATTCAGATAATTGCATAATGCAGCTGTATTAATGACATCGAGGGCTGAGTTTAGCAAGAACTGAGTAGCTGTTACGTGATTAATAGGAGTGGGTTCTTGGAGGTTAATAAAGCAGTGACCGTGCTTTTTCCACTAAAAAAGACATTTCTCTTCCCCTTGTGACAACCTGCTAGGTAAATTTGAAAAAAAGAAAAAGCATTTGAACTATTCCACATGTTTAAATGTCAGTCTTTCCATCTGAATTGCAAATATTTTCGTGAAAGAGAACCCTGAGCCTACTCTTGAATTCATTCGATAAATAGCACTCTTTCAGGTTGAGAGAATTACAGTGGGACTTCACTAGCTCATGTGCTCCTCCACGCTGGAGGTGAACAGGGAAGCTGTAGGAGGGCCCCTGCCATGTTAAAATCCTGCTTTCACAAAATACTCCCAGTTTGCCCTAACAACAAAATCACTCAGGTACATTTTATAGAGCAGCTTTGTTACGTATCCACTTACTTGCTGGTTTAATGCATTGAATACCTTACTGGGTACATGAGTACTAACATGAGTATTAACTGGATTTATTTTAGCCTATCTAGTGGCAATTATAAAACAGCTGTAAAGAACTGAGTGTGCATATCAATTTTTATTTCCCCTGTTTCTGTTCAGAATTGGTTGGGGAGGAGAATTGGTGAAGGGCTGTGTGCAAGTCAAAGGCCCTGAAAAGCTGCTACTTTCCAATGGAAGCTGTCAAATAGTCTGTTTTTATTTTGCTGAACTTAACAACAGCTTTTAAAAGCTGGTTTGGTGGAAATTTTAGAAATAGGGAATATGCAGTCACAGTAATGTTATGTTAGGACATAAGAAATTAGAAATGTAAATAGACTTGAGAAAAATATTGACTTGACTGTCTGGCCAGATTGTATTAATTGAATGATGAATTAAATTAATGGTGTGCAGAAATAAACCAGCAAACAGGAACTGATTGCTAGGATTTATAAGACTTCTTCATTTTGAAAAATTATGTCTTGTTACTAGCATGCTAGTTGTTTGTATCATTTTAACAACTGTATCTTCTTATCCTACTGATAATTCTGTATGGCATAGTGCATTTGATTAACAAATGTGCATTTTTATTCTAGAGTTACTTTGTTAGAGCTGGTAATGACAAAAGCAATTGAGAAGAACCTGGTTACCACTGAAGAAATGAATGTGTTCATGAGACTTGCTGACTTTGTAGCAGGCTGTTTCCAAGAGAAATGTGAAGCTGTGCTCAAGTTTACTTCTACAGCAGATACAGAAGATAAGGTATGACTGCTAAAAAACATCATAGCACTAGAATGTGAAGGGGTGAGTCTTCATTGCCACTATTACCCAAGTGGCAGTTGTGTATCTTCCCAGTTTACTTTGGATTGGGAAAGCAGTGACAGAGTTTGTCAAAGAATTAGTAAGACAGCAGCCCAGTTTTACTTTTCATTTGAGGATGACAAAGAATATGGTACTTTGAGATAGAAATAAATCTACCACATTATTATTATTATCATCATCTCAGAATTTTAAAAATGTTCAAGTTGTCATATGTTTGGATGTTTTATTATGTTCTTACTAAGGATTGTGTCTGTCATTTATCATATTTATCATTTATCAAATTTATCATATTTTTTCAAATATGAATCAAATTTTAAAATATTTATAGGTAGGAAGCAGCATCTCCCCCTTCCCCCTCCCTTAAAATTGAGGTAAAAATGGAGTAAATGTTTTTTTTTCTGGCAGTACTAAAGTAAGTAGATCTTACAGGAGGTTTTTAAAATCTAAATAACTGATTATAATTTGATAATTAATACATCATTAAGGTCCCAAATACTAGTTCTTTGAAAATACATTTGGCTACTTGTAAGACAGGTGTTCCTGATCTGTTTGGGTCCTGAAACACCGAGTTCTGATCATGGAGAGCTGTGGTGTGTATGTGATTGGCTCAGTGCAGGGCAGCTGTCTGAGATGTGCAGCGGCCCTACCTGCAAGCGGGGGCTTTCACTGCTGACTGTTCCCCATTTCCCAGTGATGTGGGGCTCTCTGGTGGACCTTGCATGCCTCTGACAAGGCAGCACTCCTGGAGCCCTCTAGCACCCACAGCATCAAGTTGTAAAGCTTACTGGGCTCTTAGTGGCAGACAGCTCCCGTCTCTTGAGCACACAGACACTTGCCCTAACTCCAGTCCACTTGGACGAAATCTGTTATTGCTTCAGACTTAATGAACTGGTTCTGTTGGGGGTGGCTACAATGAAGTCCCTTTGCAAGCAAAGAGGAAGGCTTTTGTGGGTCACAGATGGTTTGTGGGTTGCACTTAGGGAACCTCTGATGCAGAATTGAGTCCTGCATGGTCTTATTTTATTTTCTCCTTATGAAGTATCCAAGAGTTGCTGGCTACTTGCCACACCATATAGTGCAGTAAGGAGGTTTAGGCCATCTAAGGGTAGAGGTCTTTTCAAATAACCTGGTGTTCTATTCTTCCTCTGACTTTCAACAATTCGTTTGAAGATCTAACAGCGTCATTGGGAATAAAGAAGGCAGCTTGCACCACATCTTGTAGTGACCTTATTTGTGCTGCCTTAGGTCATCGTGTTGTCAGCAGGCTGTGGCAAGTCATATTGGTCTGAGTTCTTGATCTCTCATATAGATAAAGTTTTAATGTTTTCAGCTGATTTGGGTGTGAGTTTATTTTTTTTAAGACAGCCAACCAGAAAACTAAAAGCCTGAGAAATCTGTTTTACTCAAACATAGGATTAGTTAGTCACTGATTCTCACTGGTTAATCCTGCTTAGTTTCAAAAGTGTGATTAATGTATTTTCTTAATACCTTAAGAGTATGTTTTAGAAAAAGTCACATCTACCTTCTGTCTTGCCAAGTGACCACTGTGTTATGTTGAAATTGTGTTACCCAATATGTGTATAGTCGGAAACATTTTATTATTAAAACACAATTAACCTGTAATGGTTTCATTTGTAGAAACTCTTGAGAATGGCTGTCATAACTAATGTATTATCAAACTGAAAAAAACACTGATCTTTAAATGCTCTTTTATGGTGCTACACAGTGCTGTACTTGCTGTTTTTCTTTAAATAGGCACAAGAATTTTAAATGTATGTTGAGAGGTGTTATGAAAAGATACCAAAAATTTCTTTATGAGCAGAAGATAGTTTGATACATTAAAAAGTCTTCAACCACATGACAGTCTTTTCTTATCTGTCCAAGAAGCATGGCTTTTCCCTGCCCCCTCAACTGCTTAGTCTAAGTGATGTTAGAAAACTTAATTGACAACTTCTGGAAGAAGTATCAGCTTGGCAGTAAGAGGACACATACTGAGACAATTCCTCCTCCCCCTGCCTTTCCCCATTGCACTATTTTCTTTTTCTTCTCTCACACACACCCTTTTTTTTTTTTTTTAAATCCTATTTGGTTACTTTCCAAGTACTCCATGGTTTCAGTTCTTGGAAAAAATCTTTGTTTGCACCTAGCAGAAGGTCTCTGTCCAACTTGAAGGTGCTGGGACAGCAGTATTGAGAATTTTACTGTATAGACTGCCCTGCCTGACACTGACTTCTTACTGTTCTCTTGCGTAGACATGACATATGATAAGTGGAATATCACTGTTTGCTGGGAAATGTGGATCTTCTAATAAGCACAAAATAGAAGTCATGATAGTTGAAAAAATACAGAGCAATGACAAGAATAGTTTTTAAAAAGTGTGTGTATAGATATATACATTTATCTGTATACAAATAACACACTTATTTGTATACATTGTAATTTATTCGTATACATTTATGTGTATACATTTATTTGTAGTATATGCTTGCCATGGGAAAAGAGAAATTTCAGCTTAAATTCATAAAACTTTCTTCTTTATTAGATATGATCAAAAATTGTACCATTTTATCCTCAATTGTATAAATACTTTAGTTTGTGTAAGAGTTGTACTTAACTGAAAAAAATGCAGCTGTGCATGTAGAGTCTGTCATTAAAAATGCTTTAAGCAACATCTGTGATATTAAACTAAACTCTGCCTGGACCTTTCTGAGATCCTGAAGCCAAGTGCCGTGGAAAGGCGTTGTCTGTACAAGCAAACTGTCTTAGCCTCCAAAACTGGGAGGCCACATTTTGGCCACACAGAACTGCCTTTTGCGAATAGTGCTTAAACTGGCCTGTCTCCCAAAATGTTGTCTGGGTGTCCCATCTACTGTTTAATTTATTATATGTAGACACCGCCTTTTTTCCCTTAAGGAACCTCAGGTCTTGTAGCTTCCATCTCAAACCAATGAAAAGCTAATCATATGCTTCTGCAGTGCTTAAACCAATGTTTAAAATAGCTTTTCCATTATAATCCTGACTTCAACATCAGTTTGCTTTCACTGACTTTCAACCATACTTGCAAAATAAAACCCTTCCCTGGATTTCAAGTTCAAGTTGCTTCATCTCTTTATAAGGAACATCTTTTCTGAGTCTCTCTTGACATATGTGTATTTAAAAACTTTTCAATTATATCCTTATTTACTTTTTAGATTATATCCACGTCAAGATGGCTGTCAGATTTCAAAATATTTTGGGGTTAGAGCAGCATCTTGTTGCTGAACTTAAAAGGCAATAAAGCAGAATACTTCCTTTTCTTTTGTACAGGTGGATGGTGGAAAAATGAAAAAGTTTGGAAAGTTGCGAGGGAAACTTACCAGCGATGTGTAAACAATTTTTCAGAAATATCAAATTTCAGATGTAGATAAGAAATTGGGGGTTCTTTTGTGCTTTTAAGCTAATCTGTTCCTCTTCTCAAATCTAGACAGAACAGTTGCTGAACTGAGCCAGATGGTGGGGTAAGAGAGAGATGGTAGTATAAAACCCTGGGAAGAAATACAGAGAGGACAATGAAGAAAAGCATTTAAAAAAAAGGTGGAGGGAGTGAGGGGAAGTGGAAAAAGTGTAAGGCTGAGAAAGGAAAAGCTCCACCTCATAGTATCAGCTGCTTCAGAGGTTGCATTCTGTACATTGGCAGTGGGGTACCCATAGGCAGCAAGGGCCAACTTGTGATTTAAAGTTGCTTATTGGTACTTGTTTGCTTTATGGTTGTAAAGCATGTAACTTTTTCTTGTGCAGATGTGTCAAGTGTGAGCTAAAGAGGCTTTTGGTTATGATACTGTGTTGTAACATTGCAAAATGGCTTAAAAATTGTGGATACCTGCCTACTGTCTCTGAAATACAGTTGGGATACTCTTACTGTGGAAGAGGACAGTGAGCAAGCAGTGTGTTCAGGAGTTGGTTCTGTGCTGTTGAGACCTACACCTTCCTACACCTGTTTGAGGGGGGAAAAACCAACCAAAGAAACAAACAGGAAACAACCTAAAACCCCAGTGTTAGTACTTGGACCCTATACTGATGTGTTGTCCTCAAGGAGCGGAGGAAGGAACAAAGAATGGATATAATTGCAATGCTTCATTACTGAATGCTGTTGTTGACTATTTCAATTATGTTATATTGACTGTATGGATTCCAAAATATTATACTGTTGGTAAATAAATGTCTCTTTGTCCTGGACCAGACAAGGCAGGAATAATTACTGTGACCTATGCCTGAGCCTTTTCAAGGCTACTGCAGTTTGTGCCACACCTTGTGCAGAATCATCTTGCGGTCACAGGTCTGGTTCTGGAGTAGTATGTGGTGTTACACATTATGCCATACGCTCTTAAGGTAGTTTCTGTAAGTGCTGGATTGTCGTTATAAGCACGCATCAACATAGTCTGTGAGCAAAAACAGTTCACTGGCTGAATAAATAATATGCAAATAAAATTGTGTGTCTCATACCTAACCAAAATGCTGCATCTATGATCTCGATCCTATTTACTCAAGAATAATGTAAATTCTCGCAGCCAAAGTTCATTTGACCACAGAACTTTACAGAATTCCTGCGGATAACAAATTAGTGTCTTGCAGGCGGTGTTTGTGTCTTTAAAGTTTTATAAACTCAAAGAAAACATTTATACAGAAATAATTTTCTCAGCTAGTAATTTTCTGCATTTCTGCTTTTGGAAGCTACTGTGTTTTTGTTAAAATTTTATCCCTTATGGCTCTGTTTTGGTTTCCCCATGATTTTTCAGGGCATGTATAACACTGACTAGAAAATAAATTATTGCAGTATAGTACATTATTGCTATTGTAGAAAGATGTCCTCATTTTATATAAATTTATTCGTGGCGGTTTAGAAGACCTGCAGAGAACCTGAGGTGCTGAGAGTTCGTGTCCTCTGTTTGGATCGTCAGTTTTTTGTTCTTATGGTATTCTTCATCAGCCATTTTCAGATGTGATTTTCATTTACAGGAAGCACTGGTTACAATTCGTCTCCTTGATGTTCTTTGTGAAATGACGTCAAACAACGGACAGCTGGAACATCTACAGGCTTTGCCTGGTTTGCTTGAAACAGCCATAGGTAAGTGAAAAGCCATGAAGTTTATTAACTGTTGGTTTGTTCCAAATCATGTTGCTCTGTGAATGAAAACATGTTTTTCACAACTGGTGATAATTATGATCTGACCTTTTAATAAAATAAATAAATAGAAGATTGAGTTAATCTACATTTTCAAATATTTGGTTTGTTCCTGGAATTTTTCTCTTTCTCCACTTGCTCTCTTGGCTCCGATTTCCCAACAGAGCCTTGATTCAACTGTCAGCAATGCACTATTTGTACAGCAAGTTGTGCAGAGGACAGCTGCTTCTTATGTTCTTCCACTAGCTGAATGTGAGTAGAAGAATTTCCTCAAGAACTAGAAAAAGGACTTTTCCATGCCTGTTCCCTTCAGTTTCCCAAATTCCTGAAAACTGAAACTAAGTACAGTTTGAATGTTCTTAACCAAATTCAGTGACTTTTAAATGTCAGTTTGAAAGAAGCTTTCTTCTGCAAAGAAACAAGAAGCGAAGGGCTGTACACAAAGAAAATTAAGCCAAGATGGTCCACAGAGACACTGTATACTCGGGCGGGCAGGAGGAGGAGAAAGTACATGTATTGACCTGAGCTTTCCTAAATGTTAGCGCTTTCTGAGACTGATGTATGTCACTGTTTTCTGAGAAAATTGTAAAAGCTTACGGTTTTAAAGGGAAATATGCAATATTTTGGCTTTAAAAAAAAAAAAAAGACTGAAACAACCAAACCTCATATTTTTGATGATAGGTCTATAGTTTTATTGCTTACAGCAAGATGACCAACAAGAAGATCTATTTTGTGTGTGTGCTTTGAGGAAACTCAAATTTATCCATTGTATCATCTGAAAGTTTATGTGAATCTTTCAACTTAAACAAGAATTTCAAGGAGCTGCAGATAGAACTAAGTTTAGAAGCTGGTAGGCCAGTCCTCCTTTCTCTAGCTGTGTGCAGACTGACTTTTCTCTGCAGCCATCTCCAACATTGGTGCAGACTACAACATTGCTACCGTGTGCATCCTGCATATTTCCCACGTGCCCTCAGCCAACAGGAATTTATCAACCTGTATAGTTTCTTGTAGAGGCTGCCTTCTGGCTACAGGGCTCCTTTAATCCTGGATTAGCAAAGAGGGCAAAAAACTGTAACACCTTCAGTATTTACTTCTGAAGACCAGAAAGATAAGGATAGTGCAAAAGACTTTCATCTAATAGATCTTTGATGAGGCAGTTCTTCAGTTTATATCATGAGAAATTTCTCAGTGGAAATTACTAAAAGATTGGATGAAAGATCTGAAAAATAATCTGAATGATCTTTTAAGTATCAACTAAGTAGTGTGTTGTGCTATTTTCAGTAGTTGTTGGATTAACTAAGACAGTAATACTGTAGTGTTAATAATGTCTTCAGCACTGTTAACAGCTTGATTGCCTAGTGTTTGGGAAGTATCACCAGTGAGGTACAGGGTCATTTGGATTGGGGGGCATTTTGGAAGAGTTGCTCTTTGGGATAATGAGAGATGGCAGACTGAGTTGTAAGACTGCAATTTTTGAGTGGGGCACTGCTCTCTCTGGGCTGGCATCATACATGGCAGGTAGCTGCTTTTCTTCCACCTTTTCCTGTACCTCTTTTTCCAGGTAGGTGCATTGCTCATTGCATTTTTATCTGCACTGTAATAAAATTTGAAGAGTTTTATTTACTTTTTTGGCAGTCCTTTGGTGGTTTTTTTTGTTTGGTTGGGTTTTTTTGTTTGTTTTTTTAATCCTTTTGTTCAGGAGTCCCTCTTAAAGGCAGGCAGAAGGTTTGGGAACACCATAGAATTCCATCTTATGTGTTTCTGTGTGAGAAAATACAAAGACTGTATGGAAAAGAAGCACACAAAGTGAATGCCATGAGAAGGATGTGAGATACTGCCAATTTGTAATTTTATTAAAAAGCGAACAAATTTCTATAAAAGATGATTGTGTCAAAAGCTATTTTATGATGACATTTTTAGGGGCAGTCAGGAGATTGATTGTTTTTTCCTAGTTCAAAATATGAGCAAATATATGTGATAGCTCTTCTAGGAGGCCTCTAGGCCCTGTTATAGTTTCATAGTTAAAAAAAAGTATGAAAAAAATGCTACCAAAATATACCAAAAATGGTGCCAAAAATGTGGTTATCTCTATATCAGCACAGAAATTTTTTTCTTTACCTGTTATCAGCCATCTGGGGGTGAAATAGGAGGACATAAGAAGTTTCTTCTAATTTAAATTCAGGAAATCCAGTGTCCATTCCACTGTGGATGTTGCCAGTCTGGAGCAGAGGGAGCATAGGGTTTCAGTTGCTGCCCTGTGCTATAACCTGGGTTTGCTATGTCTTTGCTCTTCCAGTCTAAGTTGCATGAAGCATCTTGGGGACAGTAGCATGCTGGTCCCTTAGAGGAGAAAAACTTTGTAATTTTTAAATATCAGCACAGCCTTTAGTGAACTGCTTTCTCAGGTGTTCACATGATTTCAACTTTTCTTCTGGCTGTGGTCTCTGTGGAATGTTGTTTTCACGGATTTCAGTTTTCCTTCTCCCTGATTTCTCTCTGGAGCATTGTAGAATAAATCCTACTTGCTGTAAACTAGCATTTGCCATACAGGAATGCTAGTATTTTTCAGTTAACAAAATTATGGGACTGAAGGATTTGTAAAGATGTGTCAAGGTGCTAGATGTATTTGAAATGTTTTCTCATACTACAGAGCTAGCAGATGGGAGAAGAGAGAAAAAAGTAGTTCTTTGAGTAGTGTGTGTTGCTTTGACAAGTTCAAACTAAAGGAAGTTTCCTACACAACTTGTTTTTAAAAATATATTTACAGTGCCAGAATCATCAACAGCCTACAATTCAAATAGAGACCGGTAGCACCAGCCTTCAGACTTCACGTCTGAACTAAATATAGTTCAGTGTGTAAATAGGATGCGAAAATACCTTCTGACCTAGGGAGAGCCCTTTATGGTTATACTGGGACAAAACAAGAAGTTAAGAAAACTCTCAAAGTTCTTTTGATATATTTTTGAATATCTGAAATTATGTTGATTAACTTTGAACCTAACAGTAGCAAAGTGACACTAATTTTCATGTGGTTATTAATTGAAATATTCATGTTTTCTGTAGATACCCTGAGATTAACTCATCTTGCTGGGAAACAGGCTGTAAATATTTTCACTGCCAGACATGCTCTGACAGGGCAGGAAGAAATTTCACATCCAGCAGTGGGTTTTAAATCTCATCTCATTCGTTTGATTGGAAATTTGTGTCACAAAAATAAGGAAAACCAAGACAAGGTAAGTTTATACATTTTTCTGGCAGTCTCTGACATGTGAACAGATGCATATGCCTGACCGTGACCTTACTGATGAAAATACATTGGTGATCTACAAACAGAGATTAGAATTGGTTATGTAAAGGAGATAATTTTTGTGTGTGTGTGTTTGACTTAAAGTAACAGGTATGCTAACTCTTTCATGAGGATGTGATGTGTGCCTGTTACTTTTTACTTCAGTCCTAACAAATGCAAGCCAGTGCCTAATTCCTTTATTGTTTTCACATTTGCACTTCCTTTGAAAAGAAAATTTCTGAGACTAAACCTCAACTTCACTTTGAAAGAAAATGGATGGGAATTTTTTCATGAACTTAATTTTAAATCACTGAATTATTCTCTAATTAATTTTCCCCTCCCCCTCAATTTTTTTCATGTCACTTTAAAAATGCAGGTCTGCTTCCATCAAATTACTTTGAACCTTTTATCTTTAGAATTCCTATATGGAAAATTAGTGTTGTTTCCACAGTGAGGAAAAAGAAGAGGCAGCAACATGTTTTTTAAATATTAAACCCTTTTTTCTTAGATCAATAAAAGATGTGGCTTTTCTCAGGGCTGGTTAGACTAACCTCATTTCAGCAAGAAAAGCAGTCATAAAATAATGTTGTCTTACATTCATCTGAGCACTCCCAAAGATCTAGTAGGTAACTGTTCTCATTTGGCCTAAGCAACTGCATAGTGTACTACAGTAAGCTCAGCTCAGTGGAATCTTTGTTTCTGTAGTTCTTCCTTGCGAGCTCCATGTTGTAGAGAAATCCTCTGTTGATTCCTGTATCTTCCTTTACTTAGAAGAGTCCTTATGGCAGCCTTGTCCTGGAAGGAAATGGTCTTGAATAGCCTTTGTTAGTGATAATTGTTATTGAACAGGGAAATTCAGGATTGTTTTCCTTTCTTCATTAATTTGATTCAAAGTTTTCACCTGCTCTCAAGGAAGCAATTTACAGACTGGAAAATGACAAACATATAAGTCTGTATTGAAGAAGGGAAAAAAAGAGATGATGAAGTATTTTTACTTCTCTCATGAGGCCCATGTCAGCAAGTACGAAAAATACAGTAATTAATACTGGTTACTCTGCAGGAAGTTACATATGATGACATACTTGGAGTCTAATTCTGTGTTGCCAAGCAGCTGTTGAGGCATTGAAGGCTGCACAATCAGTCTCTGTTAGAAGCTTCTGTTTGCTAAATATTTTTCTTGTTGTTGATTACTTCATTTTACAGAGATAATAGATTCTTTAGTACTGATGCCATCAAATCTGGTTTCAACTGCTGCAGTGTCTACCAATTTAGACTTCTATAATGGCAGCAGGGCGTTTTCATAATATATGAGGGGAACACTCCCATTTCCTTGGGTTTTGGATTTTTTTTCTACAGGATAGACAAATGGAAAATCTGAGGAATGTTACCCTCTTTGTCTGACAAATGCTAATAATATGGCTATAGAGATGGGAAATATGGTAATGAACCTTCCTTCCCCATTCAAGTTACAGTATGTAATAAAAGATTTTCACATTTCTGAAAAATACTATTAATCCTGTTGATCACTCTGGCCTAGCGCTGGCCCTGACCTGTTATGATATAACGTGTTTCTGTACGTGAAATACATTTTTTGTGGAATACCTTGTGATAGTGGAGGGGAGGGATTTGCTTTCATTTGGAAAGGGTTGATTTACTGCTTACTGTTCATTTTCGCTGGGATTTTCAAAGGCCCCTGGAGCAATTAGACATGCAGGTTTAGTGTTTTCAGTGGAAGTTGGATATTAACTTCCCTTAAACTGCCTACAAATATTATTACTTTATGCTGTCTTGAAAATTACTTAGATTCTTGTGTGTGCTATCATGGAACACTATTTAAGTGCTGTTGAGACTTTAGAAATGCCAATAGTATGATATCCTGTCTGTACCTTCAGTTTATTTTGTATACTTAAATTGGTTCAAATAAGTGCACTTGTCGTTTCTCAGACAGTTTCCACACACAAACACATGCTGTGAGGACAGGGCAAGCAGCCCGTATCATTGCAGAGATAAGAAAACTGAAGTTTTGTGTTAGGAATGACTTGTTCAGCGTAGTGCATGTGTCAGACCTAGAACTGAATGAAAATGGGGCTGGTTCCTGGGTTCCCACGTCTCTCTTCAGGGGTGTATCCTACAATATGAGTCTTGTTTTCTGTCCGTTATTGGCTTTACACAGAGTTTACTTTCTGTATTCAGTCAAAAGTAATGTAATACAGGGTAGACTGTGGGGTTTTTTTATATAACAAGCCAACAGACCAAAACATCTGAGAGACCTTGGGCTTTACTGTTGGCTGTTGCTTTTGTGTGACTTACGTTTGAATTGTAGGTACAAGCTGAGGAAGTGGCTTTCTCTTCAGTGAGTTTAGCTGGTTGCCCGGCATGAGAGGGCTGCTGCACATCACCTACCAAAGGCTCTTGAGCAGCACTGTTAGTATTCTGACTAATGAACTGAGGCTTTCACACTTGTTTTCTCTAATATTATTTTCTAGTTTTCACTGGTTTGTGGCAGCAGTGAAAAATCTTGTAATGCTGTGGAACAGAGAAATATCTTACTAGTGCTCTATTGCTGCTTCACTTACTGTTTAAAACCACTGCTTTTTAAAAAGCGTTCTTTAGCTTGTACTCTGTAGCAGTGCAGTCTTTAGATTTTCTTCTTCCTCATAGTTTTATTTACACTACTGTGATAAGTTCTTAAGATATAAAGGAGTGGGCAGACATTTAAGCTGTAAAGCAAGACACAGTTATTAAAAAGGGTCTTGCCGGACTTACTGCTCACTCACATGTTTTGCAGGCTGGATGGGTTGGTATTTGTAAGAGAAGCGTTTGATCAAATGTTCATTTTGGACTGATAAATGTTGGGTACATGCATCTTCTGAGTTGCACACAGTCTTGCCTGAAGAGGAGAGAACAACAAATGGAAGTGCTGTACTTAGGACACGTGATGGTGACCTAGTTTGGTGCTGAGCCTTCAATGATGTGCAGTTCTCCTCTGCTTTCTCTCTGAAGGAGGAAGAACTGTCAAGAGTTATTGTCATACATGTGGGGTAGTCCTGTGGCTTGCATTTTGTTATGTCAGCTTCACAAAGATGCACTGTATGTTTCTATTAAATATACTGAAAGGAAGGAGGTGAATTCTGAGGCTGAGCAAGTAGTGGAGGTTTTGGCTGGTAGGGGGTGAATGAAGTTGTTAGAAGGAAAAAGTCAAAATTCCTCCATACTCACCTTATTTGACTTGCCTTCCACACACCTCAGTTTTATCATCTGGACAAAGTCTATACTGTTTTTCTTGGGGGGGAAGGCTTTACACACTCATCTTCCACTCTCACTTGTAAAGCTATGAAGTGATGGATTCAGTGCAGCTCTTTCGGCTGTTTTAGTGTAGTAGAACTGTTTTAATAAAGAACAGAACTTACACAGACCTAATGAATGAAGTATAGAGGATATAATCATTTATTGTAGAAATGAAACAAATACAAAATAGGTCATAGCAATTAATCTGCACCCCTATTTCTTTGTTCATTTACAAGAATAGGTACTGGAAGGTGAGATGACTAATCTCTGCCTTATTGTGATAGATAACACTGCTCTGCACAACCTTACTACCTTTTCCTGAAATTCTTGTTTATGTTGTGAGGTTTTTATGCAGTATGACTCCTTTAAAATCCTTGATTTAATTGCAAGTGTCAGCAGCACTTGAAGGAGCAATGGATTAACATAGTCCTTATTCTGCATTGTTTCCCTTCCTCTCTCGTAAGGAGAGGAATAGAGAGGAATTACATAGCCTTCAATCATATAACCTTGCTGGAGGTAGCACATAGGGAATTGGAAGGAAGTAGAAAGCTTGACAAAGTTTAATTGCAGTCTTTATTCACTCTTCAGTTTACTTCACTATTACCTCTGAGATCAAACAGGGGAATCTGAATTGCCTGGGAGTTCTGTCCTGTGAAAAGTATTCTCAAAGGATGCAGCATTGTCTGGAGCAAGCTAGATGGGTGACATGAGGTGCCTTCCTTGCAGCAGGGGAGCAGCCAGCTGGCAGAACTTTGGCATGCTGCAATCATGCTGTACTATTGCCTTCTGAGAGGTATTCCTGAAGGGAAAAAATGGTGATGTTTCTGTATGCAAAATTAAGCCTAACTTAGTAAGAGCAAAGCAGTTAGCTTGGGTTTGGTGCTGTAATCTGGTTGCATTGGCTTTGCTGTCTTTAACTGACACGTTACTGATAGGATAGGTGGTTTATTGCTACCTTCTTTGTCTAGCAATGCAGTTAGGATGCTGGGCCAGTTTGATAACACTCTGAGAGCTCTTGATCCCCTGCAGAATAATCAATCTGCACAAGTATATTTTTGAGATGTGTCTCTCTCTTTCTGAATCAGCCTGTTTAAAAGCAGAACCGGTCCCCTAAGGTAAAGAAAGTAAACTATACCCTTATGCTAAGGACATTTTAGATACTGAGAATGCTGATGGACCCAAAGATAGGATATTAATCTTGGAATGTGTGTTTTCATTGGTAAAGCTGTTCCGTTGTTTATGTAGGGGGGAAAAAACCCAAATACAGAGTTGTCTTTTGTACGGGCAACTGGCACCTTCTTACCTAAATGGAATAATTTTAATTAGTTGAACAATTTATGAGGGAAGTGTTTTCACATGGCTAGTTTTTATCTGGGGTGGCAGCAATGCTTCCTCTAATGCAGTTACATTGTTTTTTGTCAATGCGGAGTTGAGAAAGGAAGTCTTCTGGGAGAACAGGATTAAAAAAAGCAGCTTCTACAGTTAAAATTAGTCTTAGTCAAAGTAGCAAGTAAAACATCTGGATACTGTTTAATGTGTTTAATGTAACTTGGAATTTTTTTTATATATATGTCTAAGCCAAGTTGTTTTATATGAGACTAGCTCCCTAATTTGAAGACTGTTCTGGCTGAAAGTATGAACAAGATTTGACTTGTTTGG